TACATCATGTGTTTACAATAAAATAATTAGACATGTTCTTCAGTTTTAAGATCTTAAGGAATCAATTTTGTTTGGTGACTGTAAATGTGATTTTCCAAGAAGACAGTCAGTGACAAGGCATGAATACCATACTCTTATTCAGAACATGTTGCTGGCAGAAAGGATTTAATTGTCAACCATAGCTTATTGCCATGTTCACCATTTATCTCCAATGGTAAACAAAGTTGTAGTCTCAGCATGACATGACTTTTCATTTAGTCAGCGCCACTAATGAGAACACAATTATGTTAAAACTGTCAAACATTATCATATGTGATAGTTCCTGCACAGACGATTAAATCCAGTCAGTGTTCTGATACACAGATCGTATATTGATACTTGTGGATTTATTTAGTGGACGTGTACCTCTAAAACTGTAAAAAGACTGGGTAAAATTGCAAAAACCCAAATCATGGCAAGCAACTAAATGAATTTCACACCCAAGCAAAGAACAATAGCATGAAACATTTTGCTATGATGTACCCTAATGTAACTACACCCATTGGCTGACCTTTTAGAAAAGAAAAAATAGTAAACTCTCCCAGCTTTGTTTTGAATAGTTACATGCAAATTTTTAATGTTGCCATTCTGCTGCATAAGAGCGTTATTTAAAAAAAAAGTTGCAGACATGCAGTAATAATAAATAAAACACATCCAAGTTCTAAAGCCAATTTTTTTTTCCATTTTAAATTAAGTTGAAATAGCTCGAACCTCTGCAAGGTAATTGCTGCCTTTTTCTCCATTGGGGAGATCCACCCTCTCTATTTAGCTTGGTGATCGTTACCACCAGAAGGTTTAATGCCAGCCATAGATGGTGTGATTTTATGGAGGGATTTTTTTTTTTAGCAAAGACATGTAGCAAAATACATTTTGGCCTAAATTAATAACAAAATTTGATTTTTAAATTTTTTTTACTGGATATCTTTAATAGCAAAATTTCAAAAAATTTTGTTTTTTTTTTTCTTCTCAAAATTGTCGTGCTTTTTTTTTATAGCACAAAAAATAAAAACGCACAATCAAATACCACCGAAAGAAAGCTCAATTTGTGGAAAAAAAAGGACATAAATGTCATTTGCGTGCAAAAATATGGCCTGGTCAGGAAGGGGAGTAAATCCTCAGGAGGGCAAGTGGTTAAAGCTAGATGTACCTTCAAACAGACCTTAGGTGCAATAGGTTAATTGAAATAATGCGCTTTCCCTCTGAAAACACTACTTGTCTGGCTGGTGTACTTATCCAATAGCTTTACCATGACCCCTTTGAAAGTGGAATTTTGTTGCCCCCAAAATGTGCTGGTTGTTTTTAATGTAATCAAATAATTAACAATTAAAACATCTTGGACTCTTTATCTTTTTGGATTGGTGCCCCCTCTATATGTCTACAGCATGGATGGTACTTTTCAGCTTATTGGGGCTCATTAATACAGTCATATAACAGTCATCATTGTCTTTTTCTGTCCATAATGTAATATCTAATAATTATTGGATGCGTTAGGTTGTTCTGCAACAATCCTGTCACCTTTGTGCACAAGAAATTTATTAGCACATCATAAAACATCCTTAAAACAGCGTGTAAGGAATCAAGTTCTTCTGGATCATTTCAACATTCAGGATGAACAGAATTTTAAATCTTTGTGTTCCCCAAAAATGTCAGACAAAATTGGGTCAGCAAAATTTTGCCAGCTTGACAAAATGCATAAAGTTAATAGGAAGGATCAACATAAGGTTTTGGCTTTTAACTCCTGAGGGTTACAAATACTCCTTTCAACTATTCTTGTGCCATAAATGTCCCCCAATTAATTTACTTATTTTGTGTTTTTGTTACAAAAATTGAAAACATAGAGAGTGGAAATGGTAAAGTAAAAACTACAAAGCAACAGTAAACATGTAAAAGGTCAAATACACAAAAGGGGTAACTACACAAATAAAAAAAAAAATAAACTACCATAAAAATACCCTATATAACAGATCCTCTTAAAAACAAAAGTTTTTTTCCAAGCATATTTGATATAAGCAGCATAATGAGCAATACTGAGCTATTTGATTTCAGCAAAATGTAGGCAATGGTAAAATCAGTAATTTCACCAGAATCACTCCTCTCCTCCCTCCTAAACACTGAAGCGCAATGCTTTAGTCCACAAAATGAAAACTGTATGGTTTGTTTCCATGGTGCACATTTTTTTAGTTTGTTTCATCAAAAGGCATAAGCGTATTGGTATAAGAGGAGCAAAAGTGTTTCTTAACCACTTGACCTCCAGAGGATTTACCCCCCTTAATGACCAGGCCTCTTTTTGCTACTCGGCGCTGCACTATTTCAACTGATAATTGCGCGGTCATGCAATGCTGCTCCAAACGAAATTTATATCCTTTTTTTCACACAAATAGAGCTTTCTTTCGGTGGTATTTGATCACCTGTGCGCTTTTTATTTTTCACGCTATAAACAAAAAAAGGCCAAACATTTTGAAGAAAAACAATATTTTTTACTTTCAGCTATAAAAAATATATAGTAAACTCAAAGATGGTTATAAATTTAGGCCAAAATGTATTCTGCTACATGTTTTTGGTAAAAAAATCCCAATAAGTGTATATTGATTGCTTTGTGTGAAAGTTATAGCGTCTACAAACTATGGTATAGATACTACAATTTACGCCATTTTTTTGCTATACAGCGCTGCGCTAGTTTAACGGACAATTGCGTGGTCATGCAATACGGTACATAAATGGAATTTACATCCTTTTTTTTTCCCCTCAAATTGAGCTTTCTTTCGGTGGTATTTGATCGCCTGTGCGATTTTTATTGTTTGCACTATAAAAAAAAAGGCTGACAATTTTGAGGAAAAAAACAATATTTTGGACTTTTTGCTATAAAACATGTCCAGTAAAAAAAAAATGTAAAAATCAAATTTAGTCATAAATTTCTGCCAAAATGCATTCTGCGACATGTCTTTGCTAGAAAAAAAAAACCAATACGTGTAAATTAATTGGTTTACGTGAAAGTAATAGCGTTTACAAATGGCGGGAAAGATACTGGGATTTTTAGGGTTTTTTTATACTAATAATGGGGGTGATCAGCGACTTATGGCGGCTATCAGGGACTTATGGTGGCGATCAGCGACTTATGGCGGGACTGCGGGACTGCGGCGGACATTCTGACACTGGGGGGTTACTGCACTTGGGGTCACTGACATCCCCAGTAACACCAATACAGTGATCAGTGCAACAAAAAAAAAACACTGACACTGTACTAATGGCACTGGGGAGGAAGGGGTTAAGTTTATTTTGCAGGGAAAGGTTATCTGTGTGAGGGGAGTGTTTTACTAGGGGGCGGGGGTGTGTACTGCAGGGGACATGGCTGATCAGGAGAGTGAAACTCTTCTGTCCCAATCAGCTTGTCCTCAGCTGTCAGGGAAGTGACAGAAAGCACAGCTACTGCAGCTGTGCTCTCTGTCACTGATTGCCGCCGATTGCCGGGAGATAGCCGGTAAGGACCGGCTGTGACCCGGCGACTGACATCCGCAGCTGTGATCGGCGGGACAGGTACGGCGGCGGCGCGCCTTGCGTGCGCCCCCTACCTGTTTACAAAACACACATTTTAAAACGTGGTTTTGCCTGCCCGTGCTGCCCTGCCGCCGTATTTCTACAGTGGCAGGGAGGCAAGTGGTTAAAGTGGTTATAAAGGTAAAAATGTGTGGTTTTTTTTAAATAACAAGCATGCCTGCTTTGTGCAATATTTTTTTAAAGAGCAGCCTTCATCCAACTCTCCTCAGGTCCCCTGCCAGTGCTCCTAGCTCCTCCCCCCACTGATTGCCCCCATAGCAAGCTGCTTGCTCTGGGGGCACTTGTGCATGCTTGCTTGCTCATGATACAGCTCTGTGTGTCCATTGACACACAGAGCATGGCTTGGTCTTGCCACTTGCTCCCTCCTCACTGCCTCAATTGACATCAGTGGGAGCTGCTTTCTCTGAGCCAATGAGGAGGGAGAGAGCAGAGAGAGACTCTTCTCTTATGCTCTTATGCACATTGCTGGATCGAGATCAGGCTGTGGTAAGTATGAAGGGGGGACTGGGGGGGAGATGCTTTTTTTACATTAATGTATAGAATGCATTAAGGCAATAAAACCTTATGCCTTTAGAATCACTTCAGTGTATAATGCACAACCTCTACAGGTTTATGGCTGTCATGAGGGTTTTCATTAACAGTCACTCATGTAAAATCCCAATGTCTATATGTTAGACTCCCAGAAGACAACTTTTTACAATCATGCACTGGCTACTTGTCTTCAAGTCCTATTACAAGTGCTCCTGTTCTTTATATTTGTTCCCTTTGATTGGTAGGAGTCATAAACAAATGTTCATGTTACACCCTGTCACAAAACACTGTGATAGGCTTACAAAGAGTCATTCTCTCAAGTCTGGCTAATGTTTGGCATGGTAAATGCATGGAAGAAATGTTAGATTATAGAAGGGTGCACTGTCCAGCAGCTGTCATACTCTTTCAGAGTTGAGCCCTAACAGACTACAGTGGACTATACAATTTTTTCTCAAAAGCAGCTTTCCATACCTTTTTCTTCCAAAACGACTAAGACATCTTGTTGGCTAATGGAAAGTTGTGCACTAGAACAGAAAAGGTTAGTATGTGGAAACTATTAATGCAGTACATATTCCACTCACCTCTTTTTACTTGGAATCATCTTAACAATGTAAATATTAGAAAAATTCAAACAGCTTAACAGCTTCCCGACTGCCCTATAGCAGAAATACTGCTACAGGGTGGCATGGGTGGGCAAAATACGTGATTTTGCATCTCTGGGTTAGGGGCGCGCGCTGCTATTCTCGGCTGTAGCTGTCAATCACCGGGTCCCGGCCAGTGATTACTCTCCAGCGCCGGTGATTTCCAAGGATCTCCGATGGGGAGGAAAGCTGTTTTGTTTGCTAACAGTTCTCCCCCTGTCAGCTCGGGCACACTGCTTTGCACAGCACAGCCAACCAAAGCAGTGTGATTACAGTGAAGCACACTGACACAGCCCCATAGTAAAACACTCCCAGTACACAGTTAACCTTTTGATCGCCCCTCATGTTAACCCCTTCCTGCCCAGTGCCATTAGTACAGTGTTCTTTTAGTACTGATCGCTGTATTGGTGTCACTGGGGATGTCAGTGACACCAAGTCAGTTCCCCCCAGTGTCAGAATGTCTACTATAAGTCGCTGATCGCCGCCATTACTAGTAAAAAAAAAAATTTAAATCCCAGTATATATATCGCCATTTGTAAACGCTATAACTTTTACGTAAACCAATTATTTTACACGGATTGGGATTTTTTTATCAAAGACATGTAGCAGAATACATTTTGGCTTAAATTTATGACGAAATTAGATTTTTTACATTTTTTTACTGGACATGTTTAATAGCAAAAAGTCAAAAATATTGTTTTTTTCTCCAAATTTTTTTCTCTATAGCGCAAAGAATAAAAAAAAGCACAGGTGGTCAAATACCACCAAAAGAAAACTCAATTTGAAGGAAAAAAGGATGAAAATGTTATTTTGGTGCAGCATTGCATTACCGCGCAATTGTCAGTTAAAGTAATGCAGCGCCGTAAAAAAATGGCCTGGTGGGGGGGGGGGGGGGGGGGGTAAATCCTCAGGACGGCAAGTGGTTAACAAAGAGGTGTAATATATGCCTGATGAGTACATATTTTGAGTTATTTTTGTAGAGCTTTGTGATGTGATTTTCACATTTTTCAATGCTTTCATTTTGCTACCATTATAAATAACTGCTCGACATTTTTTTTGCAGCCAACAGCCAAATAAAGTACATTGTTTACCAGAGGTTTGGATTTTGAGAAGGAGTTGTAAAGAACAACTATTGTGTTGCATTTTGAAGTGGAAAACAAAGCCTGTGTATGAAATAAGCAAATACAGCTTGAAGCTTCAAAGCAGACCTCCACCCTAAAGGGGAAATTCCGCATTAAGCAAGTAAGTGAGGAATTGGCACCTTTGGGGAGTGGGGGGGGGAGAGTGGGTACCTGATTTTGACAGGTACCCGCTCCAACTTCCGCTGCGACTACCAAGTTGATCGGAAGTGAGTGGACATTGCCCCCCCCCCCGTAGTCTTCTGGGACACGTGACAGGGCTCCAAAGACTACGAGACAATTCACAAGGTGCAGCGCTACTCATGCATACACATTGAACACACGACTGTGAAGAAGCAAGCTGTTAGAGCCAGGTGCCCACACTTAGGATGTTGGCACCAGGGAGCGAGGAGCGGTGAAACCGGCTGCAGTGAGGACACCGCTGGACTGTGGGACAGGTGAATGGCTGTTTTTTAAAAGTCAGCAGCTACAGTTTTTTTGGAAATGCTGACTTTTATTTTTTCTTAGGATTGACTGGAGCTCCCCTTTAAGCTTCCTCTTATGAGTTTACTCCACCAACAGCTCAGCTCCTGATGGATTGAAATGCATAAAAGGAGCATATTGACTGTCCCTGTATTGGATGACATATTCTGGACTTTTGGAAGTTGAGTTCCTTCATCCTTGTTTGTTTGCCACTGATGTTAGCAGATCATGGACCATTTTGAAGCCTGAATCTTTCGGTAAGTGGAACAGTGTGGGGAGTCTTGCAACAGAATGGTTGGGAAAATTGTATCTGATGGTTTTGATGTCCCAGCAGGGAGGTGACACTACAGTTCTTTTTCTACAGCTGAGTAAGGTGAACACCATGAGCCCCAAGTTTTGCTTTTAATAGAGCACCCCAGAGGGTAGTGAAAGAAAATTTGATGATGGAGTGGCAATCATGATAGGGAGTTGACTTCAGGGTAAAAAGGAAGGGTAATGGCACAAAAGAGGTTTAAAGATGTCTCTTGGATGCAGATAGTGATGCCACTGACCATAATAATGTTGCCTTATTTATGCAATAAATTATAATTAAATGCAAATTTTTTTACATTTTGAATAGAATGGAGAGGGATTAGAACCTCTGTCAAGTTTTTAATGATGTATGTGCCCCATTTAGGGGATTCACCCTCTCTATTTGTCCTATTACCAATGTAATTGAAAGTGAAAGTAAAAGAAAATCCCAAATGTTGGGCTGTCCCCAGAAAATTGATAGAAAGGAAATCTTCCAAAGGAGACACCAGTTCCTGTGACTTGGGGGGGGGGGGGGGGGGGGGGGGTTAAGGATTCCCTTAATTTGCAGGGATTTCCTCTCACTTCCTGTCCTGGCTATGGGACAGGTCATGAAAGTAAATCTCCCCAATGGGACAAAGATGGCCAAAAAAAAACTTTGTCTGTTCTCTCTCTCGTTGATTGCATTCACATTTAGTACTGTCACTGTATTCAGTAAAGAATTGTACCCTATTTACCATAATGCAGTTTCAGAAATTCAGCCTGCTAACTGAAAGATACAGTATTTGCGTGCTTACAAATGACAATCAAAAAGCTCTTTGGTGCTAGAGGTAGAAGCTAAACTATTGGATCTGTTTAAAGAGTCATAAAAATTTATTACAGAGCTGTACTTGCTGTGTTCAAATAATACGTGGTGGATAAAATCTTCTTAAAAGTTTTATTAACAGAAATAAATATGATCTGTTTATATTTTTATATTCCCATTGAGGGCTATCACATTTTCCATTGTTATCGGTCATCATCATTTTAATGTCAACTAGGGGTCATAGCAAAGACAGGGCATTTTCATTTCTTCTACATATTGAAGCATTTTTTTAAGCATGTGGGCTTTAATTGCTTATAAGGGAGTGCAAGTAGTGCCAAGGTTTTTTTTAACTATCTTTATTTGGAATATTGGTAAAGGTTAAGGATTTATGTCAGAGGCATTGTATAGTCTGATCTGGGTTCTCTACACTAAGATCCCTTGTACAGTTTAAGTGCCTGTTCACATTATGCCCGCACTAGAATTGCACAGGAATGCACAATGCGTTCCTGTGCAATTCAACCTGCATGAAAAAAAGCACTGCTTTTGCGATCAATAAAATAAACTGCACGCACCAGATTGCACGGTACTTTTGTACCATGCAATCTGGTTTCCATGCGTTGTAAAAAAGTAGTGCATGAACTACTTTTGGCATGGTGCAGTGCGATTTGAACGCATTCAAAACTAAAGGGCTTGAAATTGCACCGCACAGAGCCACATGTGAACCACACAGGAATGCGATTCTAATGCAAGCCTGGTGTAAACTGGCCCTTAATCTTCGTGTGGATTGTAAAAATACTCTAGTGCAAAACTGCTAGAATATTCTTCCATAACTGTCAATTTTCTGCTATTGGTTTTGCTGCTACAAGAATCAATTGATTAATTAATTAAAAAAGTATAGGTAACCCTGACAGTACTGCATTGTTTTATGCTATGCTTCCATGGGGACCATGCTGTTGTATCTTGTCTGCTGGGGATGCTTGGCAGTGTGGAAAGCAGGTGTGAGGGACCGCCGAGCGGCACCACTAGCACTCCACTGGTCAGGCGTGCCCAGAGCGCGGAATCTAAGCCCCAGGGTACTTGTTCACCAGGGCCCCTGATGGTGGGGATGGACTTGTAGTACCCTGAGACCAGGTCGCCTCTACTGAGCACACCTGTCAGTGGTAGGGGTGTCCGCCAGGGGTTCCAACCAGGGAGAGCCAAATGTGAGGAGGTCGGGTGACCCTGATGGGATGGATGGATGGATGGCTGAGCAAGTGCGTAGTCAGACAGGCCGAGTCGGTAATGTAGAGGACGGTAAGGTACAAGGGAGCAGGCAGAGAATCGTCGGGTCACACGCCAGGTCAGCAACAGGAGGTCAGATCTACAGAGGGGCATCCAGGGAGAGAGGTCAGGCAAGCAAGGGTCTGGGCGGGAGAAATCAGCAAGGTCAAGAGCAATCCGGGTCAATAACTTACAGGATACAGGTTCACAGGATCAGGAATGCAGGTAAGACCAGAAGGCAACGAAATGACAGCTCAGGGACCTTTAAATATCCCGCCCTGCGCTGCCATTGGTGCCCAGCGGGCGGCCGCGGCTTCTACTGCGCATGCGCGAACTCGAACGCCGCGGCCGGCCCGGACCTAGTGCCCGTGTACTGGGAGGAGCAGTGCGCCTGCGCCGGGACCATCGAGGGACGGATCGCGGGGATCCCTGACATTGCCCCCCCCCTACGGGCAACCTCCGGATGCCCACCCGATCTCTCCACCACGGGTGATCACAAAGAAACCTCCGGACAAGCCTAGGTGCATGGACATTATGGGCTGGTTCCCACGAATTGTCCTCAGGGCCGTAGCCCTTCCACTTGATGAGAAATTGGGTCTGGCCCCCCCTTCGACGGCACTTCAAGATTGCCTCCACCTCGAATTCCTCTTCCTCTTCAACCGTTACGGCCTCCGGGGGCCTGGATTCCCGTTCCGGGAAGGCATCAGGGACTACCGGTTTCAACAGGGACACGTGGAAGACAGGGTGGATCTTGAGTGTGTCAGGGAGAACAAGTTCATAGGCCACCTCATTGACCATCCGTTTGATGCAAAAAGGGCCTATGAATTTAGGTCCCAACTTCTTCGACGGGCAAAGCATCCTCAAGTTTGACGTAGCCAGCCAAACCTTCTCTCCGGGCTGCAACACCAGGTTCCCTCTTCGATCTTCCTATTGAAAGCCTTCTTGTAGTCTTCTCTTGGGCTTGACGGATGGCTTCCTGTAATTTCTTATTGTTGGAGGTGAAGAAGGTCAGTGCATCCTGCGTCGCTGGAATCGGGCATTCCGGGACCAAAGTCCGGGAGGGAAGACCGGATGAAACCCATAGTTGGCGAAGAAACGGGGACTGCCCAGTTGCTGAATGGCAAGCGTTGTTGTACGCGAATTCTGCCAAAGGGAGGAGTGGCGCCCAGTCGTCCTGAGAGAATGATGTGTAGCATCGCAGGTATTGCTCCCAGGGGGCTGATTGGTCCTCTCGGTCTGGCCATTGGTCTGAGGGTTGAAATGCCGAGGAAAGAGACAGCTTGATATCCAGGGCTTTGCACAGCGCCCTCCCAAAGCCGCGAGGTAAACTGCACCCTCGGTCCGAGACGATGTCTTCGGGAACCCCATGCAGTCTAACGATCTCTCGAATAAAGACTTGTGCCGTCTCGGCTGCAGATGGAGTCTTCGTAAAGGGATGAAATGGGCCATCTTGGATAAGCGGTCCACAACCACGAGAATTGCTGTGTGGTCCAGCGAAGGAGGGAGCTCGA